TAAAATCAAATGTAACTCCTTAGTGTTATCCTTAATCAACACTGATTTATAGATGTAGATTCAGGTGCCTCTATTCATGTATGCACTAATAAAATGTATTCAAAAAGTATATTTGAGGTGATATAGGGAATGTTTATTTCAGAGACAACATGATCTGCAATATCATAGGAAAAGGTGATTTTGACATCAAGTTACCAAATAGAACAATCTCGAAGCTTACTGAAATTAGACATGTTCCAAATTTGAAGAGAAACCTCATCAGTGTGAGTCACCTGCCAAAGTCATAGTTGGTGACCACTTTCATAAGTTATTCACATAAGGTGATCATAGGGCAGTGGTGATGGTTGGGATATGACTCAATTGAGTTTTAGTACAAATACTAGGATTATCATAATAAAATATTCGTCGAGATCTAGGATGTTACATTCAATGGGATGAAGATATACAAGGATAGGATCATAACTCAAGATAATCTATCAATTATTTTTGAAGAGTTAAAAAATATTGAGATGGAAGATACTATTGACCAGGAGGGTGGAGAAAGAAGAAGTACTCAACCGGATAAAGCACAAAAGATACCTTAATCATATGCTATTGAAGTCAGAAGGTCTAGTATAGTGATACGACCAATATACATGTATTCTTCTTTGTTATATTATTTGTTATTAGTTGATTGTGGTAAACTAGAGTGATTTAAGGAGGCCATTCAAGTTGAAGATTCAAGGGAGTGAGTCTTTGGATTTAAATCAAACTTGAGAATTAATGATATTATCAGATGACAAAATAGCACTACACAAAAAAGTGATTATATATCTTGAAAGAGGAGTTAGATGGTACTAAACGTTACAAGGCAAAACTTGTTATAAAGAGGTTCCAGTAGAAGGAAGGAGTGGACCACACATAAATTTTTTTCTTTGGTGGTGAAGATGACAACCGTCAAAGTTGTATTGATTCTGATAGCCGAGAAAGATCTGCATATACATTACTTGGATGTGAAAATAGCTTTCTTACATGGAGATCTAGAGGAGGAATATGCATGGTGCAACCAAATGGTTACAATTCTCCAGGGAAAGAAGGTTTTATCTATTGATTAAAAAACAACTTCAATGGCTTGAAGCAAGCCCCGAGATAATGATATAGGAGGTTGAATGCCGCATTTCAAATAATGGGTACTTGAATTGTCAGACAAACCACTGTCGCTTCATTCAATATTTCAATGATTATTATATCTTATTTTTTTGTATGTGGATGACATGTTGATTGCAATGACAATAATGACTTAAAGAACCAATTATTAAGTTTGAGATGAAGGATTTAATTTCAACAAGAAAAAAATCAGAATGATAATCAGTATGGACAAAAGTGCAACAAGTACACTAAAATTATCTCAGACATAATATGTTCAAAAGATCCTAAAGATGATCAACATGCGTGAGGCAAAGCCAGTTTGCACCCCCTTTGGTAGTAACTCCAAGCTATTTAAGGAGCTACTATTTAAGTCTATAGCAAAGCAAGCACACATGAGGAGAACTTAGTTTGCTTTAATAACAGAAAGTCTAAGGTTTGTTTTGTTTTGTACTAAACCGGATATTACATATGTAATGGGAGTATTTAGCATATACACGAGCGTCCCAGGCAAACAAAATTAACAGACGGTGATGTGGATCCTCAAGCTTTTGAGCGTAACAATCAATAAAGCACTGCTATGAAAGTGTAATGAACAATCAACAAGAATTTATAAAATACATATCTAGTAGAAGATGGGTAGTTGTTCTTAGAGAATATACACACAATTCAAAATCACTCAGACATGTCAACAAATGAGGCGACTATCGAGAAACTGGAGCTATACAGGGCTCCGATTAAGAGTCTATGAAGAATGAGGTTGATGGTGAGCCACACCACGATACATGACTATGAATATGATATAGATGGAGGTGAAAATCTGGTTGAAAGGTGTTAGGTGCGCTTAAGTGTGAGATTGTTCAGGTGCGAAGCCTGAAAGAGCATTTACTGTTTCAAGGAAGCAAACAAAGCAGAAGTAAGATTTCAGGCACGGTGCACCCATGCCCAGACGAACAATGGGCACAACGCGCCCGCACTAGGGTCTGCAGCGCCCCCACACCATCTATCGGCCACCTATGTGCCCAATTATAGAGAGTACGACATTTCCGCGCCGAAAAGTGGCGTGGGTGTGCCAGTGTAGTTTCCCTACCGTTCGGTTTAAAGCCTCACAATTTCGAGTGACAACATAAAATCTCTATAGCGTGTGGCATTTTGACAAGGGACCTCGTGAAACAGAAAAGTGTCGAGGAGGGTTTCAACATGATTTTCTCTTGTGAGCTCATGAGAAAGGGCTTTGAGCGAAGTTCTGTAAGTTCTATCGATTGTAAAGAGGAGATATGAGGTAGTATCTTGTATATTTCTGACTTTTCATAGTGAAAATTTATTGGTCGTGTTATTCGTGATTTTATCTCGTTCTCTGGTTTTTCCATGTTAAACATTCTTGTTTTGTTTATACCTTTCTAGGGTATTTTTATTGTGATTCTGTTTGAATATTTTGTTCTGATTTACTCGAATCAGTGTCATCCTATTTCACTATGGTTTTGATTTCTAACTGGATCGAAGTCTTAGTAGAAGTTTAGGGAGATTTCCATTCCCAACACATTCACCATTGATTTCCTTTGCCTCCTTAACCAAGAACAATTATTTCCTTCAAGCTTTAAATGTTAATATTTGTGTTGATTACAAGGATGAGTTAAGAGTGTGCATGAGTGTACAACAAGTCAAAGATGAGTGGCTCCTTCAAGTGAATTAAAGATGCTCTAATATATGTCATTAGAGAGGAGAATAAGTTCAAGTCATGGGTTGATGCAAAACATAGAATGACATATTTTAAATTAATTATGATAAAATAAAGAAACACGCCCAATTCTTTTTAGCTCTCGTCTACCTCTCTTAACACAAGTTAATTAATCTAAAACATCTACTCTCCTGACTAGGTGGTCAGCAGATGATAAGCGTTTAATGTGACCAAACCATCTAAGACAACTCTCTATAATATTGTCTGCTAGTGGAGCTATATATTTTACATTTTAAATACTTCATGGCCAAAAGAGGGGTATTTTAGCTAACTTTCAATCATTTTTTTCTCAAAATAATAATAATAATAATAATAATAATAATAATAATAATAATAATAATAATAATAATAATAATAATAATAATAATAATAATAATAATAATAATAATAATGGGGGCAATTACATACATACCACACACTTCTCATGTATTTACATATCTAACACCCAAAGTTTGAATTTACATGCATACCACTCAAATCTTTGACGTTACAATAAAAATACTAGCATTTCTACCTTTTTTTTTAAGCGAGATACACATTTTCAAACATATATTTATGACATGAAAGAGGTGAAACTATCAAACATTGGGTGTTAGATATGTAAATTCGTATGGTATGCATGTAAATTTCACTTTTTGAAGGCATGCATATTCAAATTTCCCCTTAAATATGCATCTAGCCATTTATAAATATTAAATTAATGAAATATTATTTCAATAAATGTCATAATAATATCAATTAATCTATATTATTAAAAAACTAAAATGATGCATAAATATGATATATTTGGGTAATCATAAATATATTATATAGAACAATATGAATATAAATTACAAAGTTAAGATTTGAAATTCAATACTATTATTATCAAAAGAAAATATTATGTTCGGACATGCAGACGACATCGTGGATCGCACTCCAAGCCATCATCGGCACGTTCAATTTACGAGACGTAATAATTTTTCTAATATTAGGGGAGGGGAATATCATGCAGGTTCTATAAACTTTGTAGCTTTTAACTTTTTTTTTTTTTTTTTGTCACTATTAAATATTTGTAATTTTTTAACGAGGCTTTTACATTCATAGCACCTAAAATTTTCATATTTACCGATCTCACACCTAAACTTTTATAACCACCAAAATCATATGAAAAATAACACTCATTATCACATTTTAATAATCAAATTCATATTTTCATCTATTGTGTATACAAATAAAAGTTTAGGCGTGAGATACGTAAATCCATAAAAATTGAGTGCTATTTATGTAATTTTAGCTTTGGTGATGTTGAAGGTAACCTTGACGGCTTTTATATGATGAAACCTTTCTTAAATCAATATAACAGCTCAGGCACAGCTGGTGTTTCAATCACAATGAAGATCCCCACACTCTAATTCTAGAAGGGGAATTTACATACATATCATATAATTTTTACATAATTACATATCTGACACCAAAAATTTAATATTTACTAGCATCGTAATATGATAATCAAAGTAAAGCATGTATAGGAAAAAAAAGGCGCATTTAGGGTTCGTTTGGGGTAGCTTGTGCGTTTCATGATAAACTGTTTATCCTGAAACACGGCCCGCGGGCCAGCCGAGGGTCGACCCCCACGGTAGCCCCCCTCGGTATGCGTTTAGTGTAAAAACCCAAACACAGTTTCGGATAAGCAGACAAAATGCGCGGACCAAATAGTACGGCGGCGCCCGCACTTATAAGCTGCCCCAAACGGACCCTTAATTTATCAAGAGTCATCATCCAAAACTTTTTACAATAAACAGCAAAAACAAAAGCAAGAAATTATATTCATCACCATAGAGATCTCAAATAATACTTAATTCCATATCCAGATCGCCCATCATTTTTTTCTGTAAGTTCTACAAAAATACCACTCAATTCTCATGTATTTACATACCTAACACCAAAATATATATATATAGGAGGAATTTCAGTTTATAAAGGTTAAAATAGCGGTATTTTTTATGTTATATGAAAGATATAGGTGACATAAATGTAAAAAACAAAGTTTAGGGGTTAGATATGTAAATACAAAAAAATTGGATGGTATGCATGTAAATGCCCCCTTTTTTTTTAAGGGAATTTGATTGGGACCCCTCATAAATAATTGATAAGATGATAAAAAAATATTCCAACCAATTAATCTTTATTTTTTTGCTCAAATCCAAAATCATACAACAAAGGATGTTACCATAACCACCAATTAGTAGAACACACAAACACATTGCTGGAAAGCAGACTTAACATTACAAGTCCTAATTCTTTCAGCAGATGATAGATCAGACAGGCAAACTAGAGATTAAAGTACCTCTCTCTTTACAATGACGGTGCTGGAAGAGAATCGAACGCCATAAAAGGAAGTGGTTCGGTCTGCGTCAGCCAGTCGAGAAAACACATTCGGTAAACTCTGATCTGTAAAGACCTCATCAACCAAAATCTGTGATGCTAAGCTAAGAGTTTTTAGCATATTAGTAGCTCCAAGAAGGCTCTATACAACTACCACAGCTGCCGACCCTTGTGGCCAAGAAATCTGACTTCTCGACTCCCAAAATGGTAGGGCCGGGAACTCCGAAAAGTTTTCGATGTCATTCGCCACCTCGGTGTAGTGGAACTCGATCTGGAGGTGACGGTGAAGGGGAGTAGAGGGCGAAATTCCCTTCTTCATATCGGCCTGCAGCTCCCTGATAGGAATTGCAGCCAGGAAGCTCTTGATGTACTCTTTACAGGATTCCTTTCCCTTGCAAACTAGCTGTTCTTTGGCGGCCACAGCTTGCTTGCTGCCTTCTTCTCCACCGGGACCATCCTTGGAAGAGGTTTTATTCCTATGAATTGTTGTGCTACGATCGAACTTCAGTATGTAAGCCCGGTCACAACCCTCGTAAAGTCTCTCACCGAGTGTATCTATGATGTAATAGGCATCTTGCTCGACCTTGAGAACAAAAAAGTGATCATTCCAGCTCACAATATACAGGCAATCTGACTCAGAACGAGCAATCTCCTCCCATATGCTATCGAAAGACATAGCTCCTTGCAAGAAGTCGAAGCCACCAATACCTTCGCATCCTATTGGATGGAAGAATCCAATGTAGGACTTTTTGGGTACAACGGATAGCCGGCGAATCTTTGCCTCGAGAACGGTCTCAAGGTCAAAATGCTTGTCAGGGAACTGGTCAATGTATGCCTGGTTACCACATAGATTTCTCCACTCCAACGAGCCTTCTCGTATTAAGCCGTCGAACTGAGATTTGAGGAGCATAGTGTCCCGGTTTAATTTGAACCATTCCGCAATGACGGCGACGAGAGCCGTACAAGCACTCTGACCGGCCGCTCGCTCGCTCCTCTGATCGATGGATGCAAAGAATACGTCAACGGAGAGCTTCATGCATCCGTCTCGACTAATAATCTCCTTTGACTCCCAAGTTCCTACAGCAAAATTATCATCACCAAAGTCTGAAACCAATGAATTGTAAGCTGATCCATCACCATCACTCTTGTGACCCTGGTGAAAAAAAGTGAAAATGTTATTCAAATGAACTGAGAAAACATCACTGCCAACAAAGAAAAAACAATAAATATCATAAAAGGAGCTTCAGGAAGAAAGCCCGTACCAGTTGAAAGAGAGATTCATCAGAGGAAGAGAGCTGGCGCCGGTCATAATCGATGTCATCTCCTCCCTCTTCTCCATAATCTTTCTTCAACAAAGGCTCTCCTTTGGCCTTAGGAGATCTAAAATTATATTTCCCTTTTTTCCATGGAAGGATTCTTCTTTTATTATGCAAAATAGATTGCTCATGAACAGATGATATGGCCTCCTCTCCATGGGAACGGCCTACATCAGATCTACGGTGACTGTAGTAAACCAAATCTTCATGCTTTCCGATGTCTGAGAAAAATACACCATCGATATATTTTGCATTGGCCAATGAACCATAACTGAAAGACTTCCGAATGGTCACGTCATCTTTTCCATCTTCGAGTTCTACATCAGGATTTTCTTCCAAGGAATCCAAATCCAACGGACACATGTAATCAACTTCTTCACTCCCAGCCGAGCACCTACCATCGCTACTTTCATCCTCACGATAAGTTTTTTTCGATTTCCTGGCCGACACATACTCTGTAAGTATCTTTACTTTTCTCAATCCAGCTTTCAGAGCAGAAAGCTCATCTTTCTCTGAAAGAGTAACTCCCGTGGGAGGAGAAGAGGGAAATGGTACCGCTGGCCTCTGCACTGCCTCTGGTAATTCTGGGCGGGATCTCAAGAGCAGTTTGAGTGTCAGCTGGAACACAAAATGGCTTGTTATGACAAATTTATAGGGTAAGATGACAAATAAAAATAATTACAAAGAGCAGGGTAACTGGATGTATAAGTAATTACATGCAGCATTCAAAGTAAAAAATATATAGAATTATTTTATATGGCAATTAATCCCAACATATAATGAAGAAGGGACTAAAATCAGAACATCTAAAAATAAGCTTGTAAATTTCTCAATTCTACATTGCATACACACTACTTTTTATATTTATACCACCCAAATCTTTCACATCACATAAAAAATACCACCATTTTTAACTTATCAAAAAGTAAAATACACATTTTCATGCACATATAAGGTGGCATATATATAAAAATTGAACTATAGAAGTTAGATATGTAAGTGCATAGGAATTAAGTAATATGTATGTAAATCATTGTTAAAACTATATTTGGACATGAAAGACCCAAATCAAACATACATGAAGCGTCGGTCGGGAGTCAGCATCAAAACTCGTACTCAACAAGGGAACATCAAGCTCAAGTTCTTCTCCAGAGGTAGAAGCATATTCAGCAATATTCAAAGAAGCTGTGCCAATCATCGATGCCTTGTTCTTTGACACCTGCTTTAAACCCTAAACAAGAAAAGAGTAGCCAATCAAGTTTCAATTTTTAGCTGTTCAATCAGGAATTAGGAACAGATAGAGAATCAGCTGTAAGATAATTGGCAAGTTTCAAGAATTCCAAAGTACCTATCCACATAGACAATATAAAACACAAGTCATATGTGTTTGGATTAAATGGATGGGAATGAAATTAAAAAAAAATTTAAGCATCCAAATACTTTTCCCTTCCTTTCGCTCCGATTCATAGAATCTAAACACATATGAAAATGCAAGTGCAAACTTTTTAAACAATCACTTAGCTGAGTAAACAAGCATAATTGTAAACTAAATTTATTAATGATTGGGTAGTTGAGGAAAATAAAAAAATGCATATATTTACAATAAAAAAAAGTTTTTTATGATAAAATCATAATCCAGTGCAAATTGATCTAAAAGCTGCAAATTGATATAAAAGCTGGTCTTGCTATTTTAAACCCTGTCATGATCTATTGCAAAAACATAAACAAAAGCCAGGTATTCAACCAAATAATAGAAAATCCAGCCAGTACTTGAACACTTTAGGTATTGTTTGGTTGCAAGATTTGATCAAGATTTAGCCAAAATTCATGCTAAATCTTGCCTCTTTTTCTCCTTCCTTCAAATCTAAATCATAATAATATCAACCAAACTATATATTAAGATTTAATAAGATTTAACATCTATCATGCCAATAAACCTTTTTTTTTTCAAGATCTACAATATTCCACTTAGATTGAATCCTCTATTGAGTCGGAGATGTTTTAGACGCTAAACACACCAATTCTAAAACATAAAAAAACAGAACTTCTTCGGGATTACAATCTACTGAAAAACAGACATCTTATGGAGGGTGAACGATAAGAGAAAAGGCTCGGGATTCCAGTCTACTGAAAAACTATGCGATTCAATATCAAATTCATTATCCTCAAGCTTAATTGAAAAACGGGCTCCAGGAAAGATTTATCGCCAAAATAAACAGAAAAAAAATTCATCACAAGCAAATAAATCGAACCAGAAAATTCACACAATTAGATGAAATTAAGATGGAAATAAAGCAGGAGCCGAGAAACAAACGTGGTAGAGGGCATGGGGATGCAGACTCACATAGAACACGACAATCTCAATCTCCCACGGGTTAAAAGCGTTCTCCTTATGCGCCGTCAGACCAACAACGCTCCCAAACTCCTCGTTCCACTCCACCTCCCCTTGATCCCCCTTCACCGCCTCCACCCTGGTACAGTTTCTCTTCACTGACCTCCTCAGAGACCTCAGAGCGGTCGTCTTTGGTCCCTTCCACCTCACCTCTGCAATCATCATACCCGCACTCTCCGGCGACTCCTCCGCCGGTGCAGCCATTGTCAGACCCTTGATACCCCTCACCATCAACCTCACCTCAAACTTCCTCAGCACAATCGTCGGCCACGGCCAACGAATCATCCCGGTAACCATTTTGCCCTAGATAACTCTGATCCAAAGCTTATAGCCTCAAAACCTAAACATAAAACATTTCAGCAAGGTCTTGACGGAGTTTTCGACAGCGGACCACCGGAGACGGAGGTCGCCGCCGCCGGCAACGGCCGGAAAGATGATGGAGAATAAGCAAGGAAGAGACGGAGGCTTTGGGTCTAACGAGTAATGAGGCCTTCTGAGGCTTGGTTGGGCATTTTATCCTATCAAATGGGCCGGCATGGTGGTATTTGTATAAAGACGATAATGCCCCTGCATTGGACGCGGAAAGTGGATAACTCTCGATATAAACGCGCTTTAAGTAGATAATTCTTCTTATTTATAAAAATGCCACTCAAATTTTTAGTGTCTCATAATAAAAATATCGTTATTATTTATTTTTTAATAAAATACACATTTTTAAGAATAAAATTTAAAATTATAATGTTAGATGTAAATATTAAACTTTTATGACTTAATGTGTGATTGGAAAAATTGTGGCGGTAGAGTGACAATCTAATATTTTACGATTACACAATCATCCGATACACATAAATAATAGACATGTAATAAGATGAGATACTAAGATTTTTTATGTATAGCACAGTCAAAATTTTTCATTATAAGTTTGTAATTACAAGGGTACCCCCATTTTCTCATGACTGTGACAATGGATGTACTATCTTACATCATAGATAACGCTTGTAGATATATAGAAAGAAAAATGCAAGTGTTAAAAAAATGTCATATTCTGGCTACAATGGTCGTAAGTAGTGGTTTTCGGTGGTCGGTGGCAGCAACTGATGACAGTCAGCGGTGGTCGACGATGGTTAACAACTATAGACGCCAGAAGTTATCATCAGATCTTCAATATATATATTATACGTTATGGATGTATTTGGGATCTGATGTTTGCAAGCAGGAGTCTTCGATAGTCTGAGTGGTGGCGGTAGGAGGTGACGACCAATCGACAAGCAGTAGTTAATGACTATGGAGGTTGGAAGTTATCATTAAGCCTTCAATCCATAACAGGTGTTATAGTTCATCTTCTTCTACTCATCCTCATAAATGAAGAGGGGGTCTATTTTGATAAGTTGACAAATAACTTCCCCAACAACCTAATTCGATGACTCATATTGATCATAAAATTTATTCAACATGTTGGGTGCCTTATTGATCTCATAATTAAGTGATATTAGACTTATTAGATTCTTCTTGTCAAGATACTCAATTTGACTATAAATATATCAAATTTAAACTTCATTTGCCTATTTAATTAACACCCTAAAGTCTCAAAATGTTCTTCAATAGCTTAATCCGAAATCGATTGGACCAAGGTTGAACCAACTGTGGCATCATTGTGTTTGTCTCATCAAGATGTTCAACTTAATTATAAACTTGCTGAGATCAAGGCCTTGGATAATCTTGAATTTGCATTTAGAAAGTTTATCATTCACGGACGCATCAAAATCTATGTTAAATAATTAATTTGTTGAATTTTGATTTATCCGTGAATTAAACTTAAATCATACTACAAGAAAATTAATTGAAGACAAATGATGTAAAGTTCACCATCTTCTATGTGTTTAGCTGCAATGCTGGCCTCCATTGGAGGAGTGATTTCAATTATGCTTCTAAAGTCTTCCTCTTGCCGTTTACGTTCTGTTGTTCTTATTCTTTCCCACACTCTTTTGATTTTTTTCTGCTTTCTTCGCGGCCTTTACATCCTCGTAACCTAAATCCCTAATTTAAAATTACTATTTTGACCTAACCCTAAACAATAATATTAGGTTCACTCGGTGAAGCTCCTTCAAAAGTTAACGTTCCTCAACATGACTCCTCTGCTCCTAGGGATGTAACCGAGCCGAACACGAGAGAGCCCTGACTCAGCTGGTGTTCGGCTCGTTCATACTAGTTCGAGCTCAAAAAATGTGTTTGTGTTCGACTCGTTTGCTTAGCGAACCGAACACGAGCCGTTCACAAACATAAAACCGTTTTGACAACCCTAATCATGTAGCCATAAATTTTGACAACTCTAATCACGCAGCCATAATATGTTAAGAATTGAGGTAAAATTTAATATTAAAACATTATTTGAATCTAATTTAATAATTTCTATTCAATTTTCTTAATCAATATTTTAATTGATTATAAATCTTTGTAGCGTTGTA